TGAGTCAGTATCCACACTTGTCAAGTTTTAAGGAGGTCTAAAAAAACATAGTGTAACCCCTATCCAGTGTCAAGTTTGTAGCTCGCAGAAAGGGTACAAAGAAAAGTCCAAGTGATCTAATCTACAAGTAGAAAGCATGGAAAAGAAACTAGGCAAAGGCACCTTGCAGAACCACAGGAACTTTATGCAATCTCAAACACAATATATACTCTTTCCCATAAAGAGAAACCTAATTTATTTCTTCTACTACATCTAAGACAAGAAAAAAAATAAGGGGAAATTCAGATGATTTAATATTGACTGTAATGCAATGTTTTAGTATGAAGCCATAGGAATCACTAATTTTTGTGCCATGCGGAGACTAGCCTAATAAGACAAAACGCATCATTCTTAAAAATCTTAACCCACCCAGATAAATAATGAGTAAACAAAGCATTTCATAATTATTGTGAAGTTGATAATAATTCAAGATTTCTTCTTATGAAAATGTTAACCGAATTCAAAACTATTTAAAGTAGTTTGGTTTGCATGAGGAATTCGGAGTAATACTTTATTACTTATTAGTCTTCTTAAGTTGCATATATATTTATTTTTTTTCAAATTTCCCTCTTTCCCAAGAACTTTTTGTTTTAACGAGTTAGAAGGCAAATACTCCGTACATTATTTGGAAGGAGGCACAGCGAGTTCAAGAGGAGAGAATATCTGCATAAAATACAGGTACTCACCAACTTTCTGTCTTTTATTGTCCCCATGGTCAAAGAAATCAGCAGGAAGCGCTGAGGATGACCGGGACTTCTGTACATCAGAAGATATTCTTGATTTATCATCCTTGGACTTTGGAAAATTGTCCACTTGTTTCTTCGAAGACTCTTTAACAGTCTCAGATTTTGCATTGTTGACCGCACCTTTTTTGGAAGCACTTGCTTTAAGATTGTTAATTGCCTGAAAAGTATCCACTAATATGATTAGTTGCTGGGAAAAAAAAAAAAACTAAATGCACATATCTTTAGGATACACACTATATCTTCTGATATATATAAAAATAAATAAATAAATAAAAAAGAAAGAAAATTACAAGCACAGAACTGATGTTACATAAGTCAGAACACTAAAGTTGTCCATCTATTGAGGCTTTACTGTTTTATAAGATGACTATGGAAAACAAGGAAAATCACCAGGTAGACCATGCAAGAGAAAAAAAGAAGTAATAAAACATTTCCAGATGTATTTACCAAGCTAAGATACCTCATGGTTGAGGAAAACCAAGAATGACATGAATGAAGGGACGTAATAGGCAAGTTTAATATTGACATGTTTTTTACTTTGACACTATTCACAAACTCCAATTTGACTACCTTTTGTGATCTATAGTTATGATACAACGTAATCATGTGGGATCTTGTTAGAATCGTTTCAATGTATATTTTCATAACATCAACTTTTTATAGTCTTTACTTATTAATAATTCAAGATATAAAATGATGAGCTTATGCGTTGGCAAATGTGATGAAATAAACATGTCAACTAAAAAACAAACAAAAGAAAAATATAGAACACAAAAAGGCCGGACTGTCTGATAATAAGGAAATACTGAAGATGGTAAATAGCATATTATAAAAAAAATGGTTCGATATTCATTAGAGATTAGAATACGGGATGGAAGGATTATAATGTATCAAAAATTGGCCAAATAGTACGAGCCATATCTGGGCACATGTTAACATAATCAAGGATCAACTTGTCAGGGTAAAGTTGCAGGCAATTTTACCCACTCATTCCCCTAAGTCTGGTGGTTAAAATAGGATGCATTTTAATAACAAACTTTGAGAAGCAATCCAGTCAACTTGACATGCCACTAAGAAGTTACAAGATCACAATCAAGATATGAAGAGAAGAAAAACTGGAGACGACAATATACATATATTGAGTTAGCTGATATACTTCAAAGATATGACAATTATAGGGACTTTTTGATGCTCAAGAGTTCTCACAGCTCACTTCTATCAGAGGGCACCTATTTCTAGTTTCTAATGCTTTTCACAGCTGCTCCTAGCTTCGCACATCCGCTGGTGCTTTTAAACACTGTCCCTCGTGCCTTTCTAGATGCTCTTAACTATTTAGGTCATTCCACAACTTCCTGTACTGTGGATAGAATTCAACAAACTGCCATTGTGAAGACTGAAGAGTAAGGTCACTTACATCTTAACCACCCACACCCACCACCACCCCATCTCACCCCACCCCCCAACAAAAAAAAAAAAAGTTACTGCTGCTAGTTCTTCTCAGCTTTAAAAAGCTCATTCAAGCCTTGTCTTAAGATTTTAAACAGTAACTAATAATAGGGCAGGAGTCTAGAAATGGACCTACTTTGTTTGCTTTTATAATCAATTCATTTTTACAGAAAGAACTCTGAGTAATCAGGTAGAACTATTTCGATATTACCTCATGATGCTTCCGAGAGGCTTGGTGTACTGTCCAATCAGAATCAGATTTTAAGACAAAGTCACAAACTCGACAAACAGGCTTGCCAATTTCATTATACCTGCATTTAAGAAGGAAAACAGACAAATTGGAAATCAATAATCTGATACAGCACCACCTTAAGCTCAAAATCAAATCTACAAGTACATGAAAATCACCAATCATAGATTGCAACAACACCAAAAAGAAAACTTTAGCAATTCCATCAATCGGGAATCAAAATTCTAATCTTAATGATGAGTTACAATCCAATTAATATACCAGCAAAACAAGCAGCAGAATATGACACATAATATGTATGCACTATCAAAAAAATTCCTGTCTTATCCTATTATATGCCAATTGACACCACCTGCAACAAGCTAACTACTACTAATACCATGTATCTCCTTAATTAGGGTTTCTACAAACAATTCGAACCAAAAATTGAAATCAAATTGAATGAAATTAGACAATTATACCTCACAAGGGGCGAATCAATGCGATTTTTTCGCTGTTTCTCGTTTAATTTAGCACGAAACAAAGCCTTCTTCCTATCTCGATCAGCCATTGTTAAGATTCAATTAAAAAAAATTCCAGAAATTTATGATAGTGTGCAGAAAAAAACCCTAGAATTTGAGATTTTACGAACTTTGCTTCTTCCTTCAGCATGTAATTTATTATATTACCAATTTACCATTGGAATTTCTACTCTGCAAAATAAATATTGCAATTTTCGTTAATTAAAATAAATTTTCGTAATCTTGCAGTAGAAAAAATTAATTTGCAATAAAAACAAATCAAAAGATTGAAAATAAATACATACGTAACGCTGTGTTGAGCTGGGAGTCGAGCGGGAAGAATTATCAGCGGTTTCCCACCTTGGGGTAAAATTAGCGGATTTGACCAATATTAGGAGTTTGATCAATTTAATAAGCTATTTTTAGTGTTTGTTGCCTTGGTTGTGAGAGGAGAAAATACCGGTTAATATAGCATATTAACATCTTATGTTTATATGGGGTGCAGTGATCAATTCGCACACTTTAGTAAGGGTAGACTCATCATTTAGTCGGTGTTTTAGGTGTAATTTGTTCGTTGTTGGACTAGAATTTTGGTCCCATATGTAATTTGATTATGACTTTATCAAATTTGATTATTACACAAAAAATTTGGTAATTCGATTATGCATCATGGTGTTGTTCACCGGCAATCGATTTGGATCTGTGAATATATATCTTTTGTCCCTTTTTTCTCCTCCTACTGTGATATCTCCAAATCAGACAATAATCTGCTGCGGTGCAGCTTTGCTTTGAGCTGTTGTTCATCTAATATTATCACCAAGTTGTTAATGACTGAAAATAGTTCTTCAATAGCGAAGACAAATTATCAATGTTGAACTTAACAACAGTCAGTATTGTTTCTTGGTTTGTGTCTGATATGGCGGAGATCTGAGCGATATGGCGGAGAGGGAAATCGGCTTTCGATATGGCGGAGAAGAGTACAGCGAGAGGAGAGAGGAGAAAGGAACAAGGTTGTATGAAAGCTCGTATGTTCCAGAATGAAGAACAAAAACAGAGTTTCAAAAACGTTAGGAAGCGTCTAGTTAAGTGCCACATCAGCAATATCCAAAAATAGCATTAAAATATTTCAGAAAGTGCTCATAATTGCGAAAATGCCACCATATTAACATGTTTTGTTAATATTGCATATTAACTTCGTTGTGAGAGCATTGGCCTGAATTCGCTAGATTTTAAAATTAGGGATTTAAAAAAAAAAAAAAAAGCAACGTAGGGTGGATAGTTTTTCATATTGATAAAAATTGCATAGTCTACGTTTGACAAAAAAAATATCACTACAAAAGTTTGATCAAGTTAAACAAAGAAATGCAAAGTGTACAGAATATGGAACTCTGTTTCTAGTTTTAAAGTAGGGATCTTAATGAGCTGAATCGAGCTCAGGGTTACTAGGGCTCAGCTTGACACACTTTGATTATCCTCAAGCCTATACTTCATATAATTACATTTTGAATATTCCATTTTGAATTTTTTAACATTATTGTACACATATCTACTACTTGTACTAATTTGAGTAAGATGTTATAATAATATGTAAAATAAAATAATTAAAAGGTATTTAGAGCTTTTTCACAAGTTTTTTGAGTTAAGCTTAGTTCTGCTCAGTCTCTTAAATTTTGGAGTTAAACAGCTAGGCTCATTAACACTCTTATTCATGATTTTATTTTGATTGTAGTTTGTATTATTTTGGTTTTTTCTTCATACAAAGTAATAGATATCACAAAGTGGTTAATATTGTCATTGATAAAATTTAATTACAATAGTAGAAATTCATCTTAGTTAGTCAATTAACTAACTCTTGCTCAATCTTAGCTAGGAAAACAATGGTAGTTTGATTCCTAAGAATACATAAATAAATAGAATTTCCTGAAGAAAAAAGAGACTGATTGTTTGGAAAATACATACCACAAATATACATATAGGAAAAAATTGTTCTAAGCAGAAATGATTTATGAATTTCTTCCATTCTCATAAAATCAAATTTAAGTACACAACAGAGCTTTTAACATAACATGATGATCATAACTTAACAACATATTAGTGATAAATACAATAGTACATGCTGCTAGGTAGCAACTCATGACTACTTAGTTCTTAATTGTCTACGAAGTTACAAATGCTCCTAATTATGCCATGATTACCAGTTAACACTCCTGCATATGAGAGCTTTAAAAAAGCAGAACCAAATTCTTGAAAGAAATCATCGGCATTAGATGCAAATTGTTCCACAATCCCTGCAGTTCGAGTGTTTAGGGGCAACTCTGCATCAATCCTTAGCACACCTCGACGCTGCAGGGAGTTCTTGTAGTACAAATTGTTAAGCGGTATCGAACACGGAAAAAAAGAGGGGAAGATTTCTCCTAAAAGCAACCGCAGTGCTCCGAACCGCTAGGCAGGAGGGCGAGAGCTCATTAACCACCCTTGGATCTGTTCGTAGAAGAGATTGTGGGACCCTTCGAGGTATTTCTGTAAATCCTCGAAACGGGCAGCAGGTGCCTCATTTCTTCAGCTGCTTTTGAGAAAAGGGTATGTTTTCAGGACAGCTGAATTTCAAGAGTGCTTCAAATCTAGGATCCATGTTGCTCCCTCTCGCGTCAGATGGCCTATACAAACGATCCATGATGTTTAAGCAATGTGTGACTCCTAAAGTATGTGACCCTGCAACCATAAATTTGTGGTTTACTTATGTTAAAATGATCAAAGAAATGTTGAATGATAAAGTATAAAATTCTTTTTTTTATACTTGAAATGCAAAATGAAACATGTTAAAGCACACTTTTTCAATTTCTTGAGGATAACATAGCTAGTATTTTGCGAGTTTTGTTATGCAATGTGTCAGCTTGATCTGTCAATAATATACGACATAGCCTTAGGCAACCCGGCTCACTGGCCATACACTAGTAGAGAGCCAGATTATGGTGAAAAAAGTTCACCGAAAAATGAAAGTACCCATAATGGCAACTGCTTCCCGAGTAGTCATCCCAAGCTTGGCAAAAAGGCTTAGAGCGTCATCAACTCCAAAATCAGGTGAAGGGAGGGAAGCATCAGCGGCTTCAGAGCTTGAAGCCGAGATTGAGTCTCTCCTACCTAAAGGAACTATTATTCTTGGACCCCCAGAAATAGCCACTGCCTCTCTAGCAGCCAACACTATAATGTCAGCACAGGAGACTTGTCCTGGACATTCTTCTTCAATCCTTGACTTTATTTGATTAATTGATTCCCTCTTTCTAATCCCAAAGTTCTTTTTTGCCCCCAGCTCTGGTGGCTCTAAGGAGGCTGAGTTTGACACATCGATTAGAATTGATGCATCACAACCCTGACAAAGAAAAATGTTTCTGTTAGAAAAACTCATACCAAGATGCATCATGCATGAAAACTTGCTAGTAACAACGTGTACTAAGTACTAACAGGCCAGTGTAACTTGCCAACCTTGCATTGTACCATTACCATGATACACTATTAAATTTATTAACTATAAACCACAATAAGAAAACTTTTAGGAGGTATCATATGTAAGAACCAATAACTTCGACAAGCAGAAAGATTGTGCTGAAATATATCCTTAAAAGTAGAACAAAGAAAAACAGTACTCAACAGCTAGTTGATTAAGTACAATAATTTGAAAGACAGACGAGTACAAAGCTAAGTATGAACTTGTTACAGAATTCGAGGGAAGCCAGGAAGTCGTCGAGAAAGAGTACCTGAACTTGGCAGTCATGGAACATCAGCCTTAGGAGAGCCGCAGCAGAAGTAGGATCACTGGTAAATACAGGAGCAAGAGTAGCTCTGACAATGTCCTCAAGTTGAGAGCAAGTTTTGTTATAAAAATCATAGGAAAGACCTTTAGGAATAGAATTGTTAGCACTAGCTGAATAAACAAGAATAATGGGAAAAAATGATAAAGTAAGTGTACTTGAAATTGTAATTCTACCCATGTTATTCCTAATATTAGTCCAAATTTTTAGGAGGGAATGTTGGACTAGTAGTTGGGAAGTAGATATGAGGTTAGGGGGTGTATTTATAACCCCAGAAAAGTGGAAAAAAAAATAAAGGGGTTGGCTTTGATTAACAAATGGGATGACATTATTTTACCTTTTTGTTTGTGAATTATTACAGTTGTTCTAAGTTAAAACTTAAAACTGGTTATAATTATCTTGCTTATCTGGTTAAAGGTTCACTTCACTTTCTTTCTCCATGTTTTAAAACTCGAGTAACAAAATCAAAGAAGCCTGATGATCAAGGTTATAGAACAACTACGAGCTATCTTAACTACAGGTTTACATTAAGCTTATAGAATTTCTACATACTATCTTATTTTGTTTGCATTGCAACCTGTTTAAGATGGGAATGGAGTTGTCATTTGTACAACAATGCAGATTATGATAGTAAGGTTCACCTTTTATACGGAGTATGTCATTATTATCGGGCATAACAAAGATGAATTTGCCGATTTCTATTATGAAATATCTCTAATTCTCTAAATAGATGTTCACTCTCCTTTCAATATTATTTTTCGGTTGAAGTTTTATTACTAGGTTCTCATTCTCTAGTATTCTCCATTTCTCCATATTAATCTTGTAACTCATGCTCTATTGTTCATGCCAGCATAATTCGTCGGGCTATCCTTTCTTCTCTGTTATTCCAAGTGCACATTTCAAATGAACATTTGAATGCAAGAAATTTATAAAACCTTCCAAAGATTACACATAAAATAAACACAGGAGAAACGTTTACCCCATCTCTATATTCTGAAATATTTCGTAGGTCTTAAGCCAAAGCATGCATACATCCGAGCGTACCTAAAAATAGTTTTTTATTTTACAGCAAGTCGAGCATAGCTGTAATTTCCTATTGCTGGAGTAATGGGCTGAAGTACCTTCCCTTTTTTGGAGATGAATTGCTGTAATCTGCTTTTACCGAACAAGTAACTCCATAAATTTGCAGAGTACAACAATCATGAATTACATTGTAGAAGATTGAATACATGAACATACAGTACATTTGTAAACCTACCACATGATCAGAATATATAATTTTAGACAAATGAAAGCAGAAATAATAGTAGATGATGCATACTATCTTTAGCAAGCTGCCATCTTTACTGAATCACAGACTTTCTCTTTTATGATGCATACTATCTTTTATAGTAAAAATTACTAATAACATCTGTGGCATTCAAATTCGTTGCAGACATCAGAGACTCAAGAGTATAGTAATCTAGCACTACGCACACAAGCTGATTTTAGCTATCTGCCTTCTGCTTTTCCCGTCTTTGGTCTAAAAAAATTCTAGTCTTTCCAGCAACATCGTTCGAAAGGACTTCCTGATGTTCAAATTTCTAGTCTGCTATGAAATATTCTACAGGTGATGACCAAGATGTAATTTTATGAGACAATCTCACCAAAGACTTGTTCAAGAAATATATCAACATGCTTAATCATCCCATTCTCTTTCTCTTTTTATTTCCTCCTCACTAATTTATATTTCATGCCTATAAACAAGCTTCCAAAATATTGTAGGTGTATATAATAAGAGGATGAAGTGGACTAACCCGGAAATTTTCATAATACTACTGCTTGCAATCCAAGCAATCCCCCCCCCCCAATGAGTTATGTTACCTGCTGCCAGTTCAAGTTTTCCTAAATTTGAACTTGCAAATTATAAAAGAAATCCAAAATGACATAAAGTCATTTACCACACACCAAACCTAAGAAGTCATCACCTTTTTCTGTCACAGAGTAACAAACAGAATGACATGTTAACAGTGCTAATTTTATGTCAATAATGGCCTCTGAAGCTCGATTTCAACCGCAAATTTTATTCACTATATTATTAAGTAAAGGTCAATAGGGACTATAAAGTTATCATTTGTTTTGGGTTTTTCATAGCAGAGAAATAAAAATATGAATATTGGATGTTTCCAAATTCCTTCCCCCTATCATTTTTCCCCTGTTTCCAAGAAGTTTCTTTAGATAGTAAAAACATGACTCACAATAGCTTTATCAGCAAAAGAAAAATATAAACCCTGTTCCCTTCCAATTACCACTTTTACCTGACTGGAGTCATAATTGATAAGGACTTCTAACTACTCGTACCATAATACACTTTTGGTTCAATATATAATTGCGGCATCCTGCATTCCTGATTCCTAAAATAGGGCAGGGAGATATTCACAAAGAAAGAGAATCTGCCATCAGCCAAACACTACAAAGAAAAAATGTTGTGAAACTGTTCTTCAGACACTAAATGTTTATGAGGTCAAAAACAAGATGAAGTACAGCAGAGGAATTCTCTGACATTCTATGGCAGGGTTACCTTCAGATGAGACTCAAAAAAAAAAAAAATGCACTATAAATGTTAAATAAATTCAGCAACAATTGAACAACTATAATAAATGGCGTTATGATGTTAAAATTATAAACAAGTCATGCACTATCAAATCAATTAGGTTACATGAGAGTGTGCGAGATACAAAGTTGTTCAGCGAGTATACTGTGCAAGAAATGGATTCAGTTTAATTCAACTTTGCTTATTGGGAGTACATATGTGTTATTCATAACATAACAAAATTTTGCAGATATTATGAGAATTACATACATGACTAAATGTCTACATACTTCAAAACTCCACTACCTATATCCCTAACAATATCCCCAAAATCTGGACAAACAACCCAATTCTGAAATGTCTGCAAGCAGATGTTTTCTAGGTATTGACGGACCAGGATTAGTTATCACTATGGGAAATGAACTCAGGACTGTGAAAATCAACAATGATTTGCTTACTTCTTCCAAGAAGCTATGTGTTGCTACCGTGTCATTGTGGAGGGTTACATGCTGAGATAGAGCAGAACAGAGCAGAGACAACCAGCATATCCCATAGGGGCTGGTAAACCCAACATATCTTGTCTTCATGTCTAGGTTTTTGCCAGATGCATGAGAACTTCTATTTTTCCAGATTCGACGCTAGATTGAACACCTAAAGTCAAATTTTCCCAATTAAGAACAGATCTCTTGAAGAAACTACATGCACAACAGATTTACCAGAATCCAATATCAAGTCAATTGACATCCAGAAAAAACTACGGAAAAGCCAATTGAGAATTTAGAGCAGAGCATAATCATCAGAGTGGAGACTATACTTGACTGAATGTGTATGGATATGTATAGGTCCCTGCCTTATAACATGAACAGCATACAAGGCTAATTAAGAATTGTAATGTAATGGTGTTTTGATTTACAAACTAATTACTTGCTACTATTAGGCCATATTTTGTTCACCTTACTTTTACTAATTTCAAATAAGTCCATAAAAGATAAGTTCAATTTAAGTCAGATCATTTCAGTTAAGTTCTATTAAATTCAAATATGAGAAAATCAGGTGAATAGAACGCACCCTTAGTACATAGCATGCACAAGGCCACAAAGGTACACCAAGAGTCCGATGTAGGTGGGCTAAACAAAAGAACCAGAAACAAAGGCAATAAACTTGGTTGTCATCATGAAAAAATTGAAACAAAAACATCTCATTGAAAACTGTGCTCCAATAGAAGGATGCATGTACCTCACAAAATCAATTAGTAGATGGCTGGACACATGCAGCAGCTGAACAAATTTGTGTATTAGCATAATTCTGCCCATTCATCATGAAATATTTGTGCAGGAATAAATATCAAACTCTTCGTGAGATTCGGGCACATGATCTGATTTGAGCTGACACTTCAAACCCTCCAACATACAGAAAACCTCATCCATTCTGGAGTTGGTAGTGTCATCTGCTTTAAAGCTGACGACTTCATTCCCAATCTCAATCCAGCTGTATCCAGGATTTAATTGGAGATCGGTGTCCTTCATCATTTTCCAAACTTTTGCCACCTGGTCCCACATTCCAACTCTTGCATACAACTTTGCAAGCTGCACATGGGTGGCAGCACACGAAGGTTCTAGTGCAAGCCTGTTCTCAGCAGCCTCTATACCAATCCATACATTATCATGAAGCCTACACGAAGCAAGAAGCGAGCCCCATATGATGGCATTGGGCTTTATTGGCATGTCCAAAATTAAATTCCGACCCTCATCAATCAAGCCAGCTCGACCAAGAAGATCAACAATGCATGAGTAATGGCCCAAATCAGGCTCCACACCATATTCTACCATTGAATCAAAATACATATGACCTTGTTTAACAAGTCCAAAATGACGACATGATGAGAGAACACCTAGAAATGTAATACTGTCAGGCTTCATTTTCTGCCTTTTCATCTCCTCAAAGAGATCAATTGCTTTCCAAGCTAGTCCATGCAACGCATACCCTGAAATCATGGAATTCCAAGAAACAATATCTTTATCATGAATCGATTCAAATACAGAAAATGCATCTTCGACATCACCACACTTGCAATACATTGAGACAAGAGCATTGGCAACATGAAGATATGAATCAAAACCCGAAAGAATGGCCAGACAATGAGCACTTCTTCCTTGTCCAAGGGAGCCATTACCAACACATGCACTCAAGAGACTTGTTAGTGTATAATCATTAGGTTCAAGAGATGAATGTCTCATTTGGCTATATAGTTCCAAACAGACATCAACTTGGTACTTTTGAGCAAATCCCGATATAAAAGCAGTCCATGATACAACATTTCTCACAGGCATCTCCTCAAACGCCATAGAAGCAGAGCATAAGTCCCCACACTTTGAGTACATGCTAATTAAAGAGCTTCCAACATAGACATTTACAATCAACCCATTTCTGATAGCTAAGCACTGAAGCTGAGTTCCACAATGAAGATTCCCCCTAAAGCCACAAATACTTAGTGCATGTGGAAGCAATGTGACATCAATTCTAAACCCTTCCCTATGTAGTTTAAAAACTCCTGAAATCACATCATCCTTGAAAGAGAAAGATGGAAGCATTTGATCAGGTGGATTTTGGTTTCCGAAACATGGATTTGCAAATTCATTGGATGCTTTAACTTCACTAAGATTCTTTGAATGCGTTTGTAGCAAGTCCTGAATAAGTTGAAGATGGCAATGTTGGTTATTACTGACATAGGTGGATTTTGGAGACACAAGATCAATAATTCTCAATGCCTTGTTCAGACTTTTGATATCACTGCTTTGTTTTAGTCTATGAATACTGAAGCTCCTGAATTGAGAAAGTGTCTGCAAAATGGTAAAGTACACTACGGATTTGAAAAATGTCCTTTTACACTTCCAATAGCACCCGGAAAGATTCAAGATGTCCATCCCTAAGCTAAGAAAACCAGTCCCATGTTTTGCTCCCTCCCTTGCAGAGAGCTAAAATCACTGAAATATTCTAGAAATAAAGCCTGGCATTGTCAGCTCAATTAAGTAGTTTACACTCCAGACAAAATTGCAGCATGGTGTTGAATGATTTTGTCAAGTAATGTAAAATTTAACATTAGTTAAGAACTTAAGACATAAGAATATGATGTTTCATAATCTAAGAATTTACGAACCCTAAACTTAAAGCACTGATAATTAAATTAGATTAGATCAAATATAAACCCTAGATTGTGAAATTGATATGATGATAACAACAACAAACTTACCTTAGAAGCTGCTTCAATGGGGGATACAAGAAGTAGATTCAACGGAGAACGCTTCAATGGAGAACGTTGAGTGCACTTCAATTAAATAACTCAGACAGGTAGGAAATAGGAGTGGAGGGACTAGAGGCCTTTAAAGCCATGACCCGCCATAATTATAATATGGGTTAGATCCGTCTGATAAATAAATGGGGCGGGTTTTTATATGATCGTCTAATTATGAGACAGGTGAACTTTTATAAAGGTTTTATGTAAAAATGTTTTAAATATTTTTATACACCAAAGCTTGTATCAATTCTTTGTAAGTTTTTTAGATTTTTTTTAAAAAAAAAAAAAAATAAAAAAACAGTTGAAATTACATTAAGTAAACTGAGTTTACAACAAACTAAAGGACAGTAAGTAACATAAGTTACTATTGGCATAAGAAGCCCTTACACAATATCAATTAAGGTCATTAACGATATTTACCTTTAAGTTATTACAACGAGTGAGGATAACGCATATAAGGCTTACCAATATACATTTAAACATGCGATGAGATTATTGATAGAACGAGGGAAGTTGGTGATGATGTTTTGTGTTATGCAAGGTATTTTCTAACATACAATATGAATGTTGCTGAAATGACGGAGGCAATTCAAAATTACTATGTCTTACCCTAAGGGACCCCAATAATTCAAATGGATAAAATCCTCTTGAGATCTATGCTTCATACATGTCAATCACATTTCTCTGTGATCTGACAAAACCATATCTTATACTCCCTCCGTCCCATAATATAGTTCCTATTGTGTTTTTTTCACGGTATTTAAGAAATGGGAGGAGAAGTGGAAAAAAGCTAGACAAAAGTACAAGGCAAGTGGATAATTTAAAGGGGAAAAAGTGCAAAGTACAATTATAGACAAAAGTTAGAGAGAGAAAGTGAAAAAAGTGCAATGCAAGTAGATAAGTTAAGGGTAAATTAGGAAGTTTAATAAATAAAGTAAAAAAAAATAAGGGTATAATAATCTTTACATACTATTCAAAAATAGAAACATGAACAACATTTTGGGTCTCTAAAATAGGAAAACAAAAACTATATTGTGGGACAGAAGGAGTATATATTCTCATACAAGGTCATGATGTTATAATGACTTTTACCGATATCACATACAAATGGGTTAACAACACCTACTACCATCCTCCTTCAACAAGGGTTTATGTAAATCTGAAATTGAAATTTTGCTACATCTCCCAACAAACATAAGTAACACCACTTCCATTAAAGGAACACATTTTTATTAAAATCAAAGAGATTAAAAAAGGCAATTCCAAGAGTCAAACGACTCCATTTCATCCTCCAATTAACCTTGAATTCGACTTGTCTTCGCTTTTCGATCTTTTATATTGGGTGCTTCCAAATTCTAAGTTATATTTTTTTAGAAAAATTCACTTTAATTTATTAATCAGAACTTTCAGCGATTTACTCTCAATAATCGCAATTTACATTTATTAGGGAGCACCATGAACTTTTGGGTTGATTTTCTTCCACAAGGTTGATTTACCAGTGACTTAAAGAAAGGGTGATTTTTATTTTGTAAAAGCCATATGTGATGTGCCGCAACATAATTGGTCCAATTTATTTTTGTAAAAAAAGAAAAAAAAAATAATTAAAAACCCTTCTCAGCCAGCCACCATCTTTCCTCCCCTCAGCCCCAACCCCCAGTCTGATTGAAATTCGACCGCCCGCCTCCCCTAGCAACCGATAACAGCCGGTCGGCCCTCTCATACCCCTAAAAACACTTGGGTGACCCACCTACACCATCGAAACCACCCCCTTTCCCCCATCCCCAAAATAGCCCCTCTCTTCTCAAGTCGATGAAACCGCCCCTCCTCCCTTCCCTCGTCATTGAAACAACCAATTTTTTAGCTCCCTCAATAGGAGATTATTGCCAAGAAATTAAATGTAGTTGTGTTACTCAAGGTTTTTGTGGTAGCTTTTTATAGATTTTTTTTTTTACAAAAAAAATAAATAAATAAATGGTAGTTGTTCTCAAAGTAGTCATTATAATGGTAGTTGTTGGTAAAATTTTCTTAAATTTTCACAAAATTACCCTATATCTAAAGTATAATACTCCCTTCATCGCTTTTTATTGGATACGTTTTGACTTTTACACGTTTGTCAATAAACCTATTTGATTATTATTCATTACATACTTTTTAAAATTATAACGATTGAATATTAATAGAGCATTTGTTGAGATGAATCAAACATGATCTCACCTGACTCTTTTACTTTTGTGAGTAAATTTGAAGATTATCTAATACTCCTTTTATCCCGGAAACATGGCACAGTCAACATTGCACACATGTCAATGCACTACTTTGAATTTATTTGTATATAATTAAATATTAATGAAAATTATAAGTTTAAAAATTATATTTTAAAACTTTATATATATACCTATTTAACAACATATTTTATGATAAAATATGTTTTTATTATGTTAGTAAAAAATTATGATCAAAACTAATACATGAATAGTGAAAAAAGTTCAACGTCTCATATATTTTGGGACGGAGGGAGTATTATGAATAATGTTTAAAATCTAAACATAACTAATTAAAAGAAACGAAGGAAGTATTATGAATAGTATTTAAAATCTGATAATAACCAATAAAAAGAAACGGAGGGGTACCCTACAAAATTAATCATCCTAAAGTTTTTGTCAAAAAAAAAATCATTCTAAAGTAATTGAAACACTTTAATATACATTTTGTTGATACATAACATTATTTTACCTTTAATAATTTTGATCGTATGTTTATTATAAATAGTTGATACTATGAAATTTTATACAATGTATCAATTTTTTTGTGCATATTATTTATAGAATTCAAGTCAATCTCCTAAAAAATTATACCGATTAAAGTGATGCTTTAAAAAATGGAGGGATTATTTTCTTGTATTAAATGTCTGAATTTATTATAAAATAATTTATTATAATTGTAGTTAAATAAAGATATCTTAATGAACATTATTTTTATAGTAATAATTTATATCAAAGTTATCAAAATCGAGATTCCACTTTGAATTGGAAGGGATTTAGATGTGTATGTGTTACTGATGATAGTAGTCGTTTCAGAAGTTTTCCTAGAAGTTTTTATTTCTCACATGAGAAGGTTTTTTCTTGTTTTAGGCTTAGTATATTTGAATTATGCAATTTTATTTGGGAAATTCTACATGGTGGTCTCATGAATTCCCATGGTGGGCACTATGTTTAAAATAATAAAATAAAAAAAAGTAAAAAATAAAAAATAAAAAAAAAAACAAAAAAAAAATTCCCAAAAATTCCCAGCCACCCCGCTAACCCTAACCTTGCCGGAATCCGGCCAACCACCAACTCCCGACCATCGAAACCACCTCCCAGCAAACTCCCGACCACCGATACCACCTCCTAGCCAACTCCCGACCACAGAAACCACCTCCCAGCCAACTCCCGACCACCGAAACCACCTCCAGCCCAACCCCTAACCTCCAATTTCCGAGCAGCCCACCTCCTTCCTCCTCCTCCATAATTTCCGACAGCCCATTCCTTCCTCCTTCCTCCTTCCTTTCTCTTTCCTTTCACTCTCCATTAATTCCAATCCCCTCCACCCAGCTACCCACGACTAACCACGCACCCCTGCCAACCTCCCTTTATTGTCCTCAATTTCTCTCTCTTCGTTTTCAATTTCCGACCACCACCTACCCTCTTTCGACACCGAAATCTCAGCTCGCCCTCCTCGAATAACAGAACCCCTTTTTCGATTTCGAGGGTAGTCGGAAACTGGACAAGGGAGGGGCAGCAGCGGTCAACAGGGGGATAGAGGTGGGGGTAGTCGGAAACTGGACAAGGGAGGGGCAGCAGCGGTCAGCAGGGGGATAGAAGTGGAAGTGGTCGGAAATTGGAAAAGAGAGTGGGAGGGGACAAGGGAAGGTTTAATGAAAACAGTAGTGACATTGTTGACAGCAGGAGAATAAGACACAATGGTAACACAAGCTTTAATCCAATTAATCCAAGTAGCATTAAAGCCAAAGGAGGAAAGCGTAGCCCATAAAAATTCTCATTCAGTGCGATCATAGACCTTTTCCATATCTAATTTCAGAGCTAGCCAACCTTTCTTACTTTTGGACTTATTGTACAAGTTTAGAATTTCATGGACCAACAAAATATTATCCTGAATAGCATGATCTGGGGCAAAAGCATTTTGGTGAGGACCTATAACCTTCTTTAAATAAGGTTTCAATCTGTTAACCAAAATTTTGGAGATTGCTATATAAATAGTAGTACATAGACTAATGGGTCTATAATGACTATCCTTCGAGGCCGAGTGGACTTTAGGAATTAACGTGATAATAGTATGATTTAATTCCTGAAGAAGAATACCATTGTAAAAAAAACCTTTTATAGCTTTACAAATATCTTGACCAATTATGTTCCAATAAAATTGAAATTTTTTTGGGCTATAACCATCCGAACCAGGAGATTTATAAGGGGACATGTCAAAAAAAGCCGTACGAATCTCATCATCTGTAAAAACCATTGTGAGTTGCAGATTATCATCTAGAGAGATGACCGGGTTAATCTAAGGTAAATAAATGGTTTGATCATGCGTATAAGCAGATTTAAATCTATTAGAGAATTCAGTAAAAAGAGGTCTATAATATCGGATGGATTATCAACCCATTGATTATCATCATTTTGAAGACGAAAAATTTGATTTTTACTAGAGCAAAACTTAACTGACTCATGAAAAAATATAGAGTTGCGGTCACCTTTAGTTAACCATAATTTTCTCGCATATTTACCCCAAAATTTTTTACCAAACAAAAGAAGCTTTTCACGCTGACGAATCAGCCGAATAAGGTGTAGACGTATATGGGCATTATTCGGAAAAAGTAGCAATTGAGATTCTACAGAAATCAATTTTGATTGATTCAAACTTAGTTTAGCTTGCACATTACCAGGCCATATTTAGAATGATGTCAATGCTTTAAGTCTGTTTTAGCACGCTTCAATTTTTGTAAAATGCAAAAGAAATGAGAGCCAGTATGATGGGTCTTCCAATTCTTAACGATTATATTATGAGCTTCTACATTTGAAGTCCAGATATTCTAGAATCAAAATGAAGAAAGTCTGGGCGTCATATTATTGTTAGTAACCAAACACAATAGGGGAATGATCTGAAATAGAGAAGTGTTCATATAAGAGAGTAGCATCCGGATATAAAAAAGACCATTGAGAACTAACAAAGGAATGATCTAATCTTTCATAAATAAAGTGGGAGTGAAAAGGACGCTTCCACGAAAAAGAGTTTCCCATAGCAGGGATGTCTATAGCTTGCGTAAACTGAGCAAAATGAGTCTAAAACATCTAGCAAGGGACATGGGTTTTCCACCTTGCTTATCATTAAGTAAATATAAGTCATTAAAATCCCCAATATTACACCATGGTAGGGGAGAACTTGAAATAAGGTCAAAGAGCTCTGACCAAAACATCGTTTTTGAGAGGTCTGAGCAGGAGCATATATAGAATATAACATAAACAAAAAAATATAACATAAACAAAAAATCATGTGTTAAATCATGAATAAGTAAGGATGCAATCCTAGGCTGTAATTGTATACAATGACAGTGATATTAGGAGAGTTATAGCAGACCCACATTCCACGACAATGCCCTTCCGGATTGATAACATGAACAGATTCATAGCCTAAAGTTTTACTCAAACGATGACTATTCGTAGGGGAGCTCATAGTTTCAGTTGCAATAAAAAAATTGGGATTGCTTTTTTTCTTTAGGAAAAATCATCTCATTAATAGCCTGTGAACGCTTAGCCCCTCTAATATTCCAACTAATAATCTTCATAAAAAAAGTATAAGAGAAGGTAAATACAAGCAACATACTACAAGAATGTAGGAACAGGGACCTATACAACTGTAAACAAAATTAAATAACAAAAAATCCCAGATTTCATAGAAACCAATGTCATAAGTTCCTATAGGAACAGTAACAACATAGTTAAGAGCAAATACATGGTGAAGGGGGGAGACGTGAGAAAATAGGTCAGAATAAGAAGGCATCCAAAATAGTTCCTGCAAAACAACAAGAAAGAAAATATATAATTGATCTGAAGAGAATAAAAATAACAAATGAAACCAAAAGTATACCAAATAACAGAAACATAAGTCCAAAATAAGAAAGACAAATAACAAACTGAAAAGAAATAAACAAAGAGAAAATAAGCACTGCCCAAAATAAGCAGAAAAAAGGAAAATGAAAATACAACCCAGAAAGGAAAACTATTGAAAAATAAAAGAAAACTAATGCAACAAGAAGTAAGAAACACTGGACAAAGTGTGCTCAGATCCTAAATACTAGGAATTAGACCAACAAGCGTAGAAGACCCGACAGTAGGAGAAGTCACTTCAACCTTATAAATGAAAAGTATGAGGGAGCATCTAAACCTGTACATAAGGGAATTCATAGAACAAGTTGAAGTTAAATCATATGGGGGATACTCAGTCCAAAGGGAGAAGAGCCAATAATGCACCACACTCAGTCCAAAGGGAGAAGAGCCAATAATGCACCACCCTTTGAGCTTTGAAACAGGCAACCAAAATAGCATAGAAATTCCAAAGCAAAGTCACTTCAACCTATAAATGAGAGAGGGAAAAGGAGCAACAATGCAAAGGAGGAGAAACAAAAGGAGCCCTAATGTCAATCTTACCTGAGGAGGGCATGCATATATGTAATAAATGGCTCAAATGGACAAGTAACCCCAATAAAAAAGATTTCAGTAAAAATCATCATAGCACTTAACCACAAAACAGCAGGAAGTCCTACAATGTAAGGTGGGAAGGCTAACAAAGCATATAACCAATAGAAGACATAAATCATAAGGGAAAAGGAGAAGAGCAGAAAAAATAAAGTATGTTAGTGGATAAAGTAAAATCCACAAATGTCCTAAGTGGGGAAACCACAAATGATCCTGAATCCCAAAAGAGGGAAAGCATATAGCAAAAAGAGAGGGCAGAGAGTAAAGAAACTCAGACCAAAGCGATAAAAAGACTAGGATGGAAATAAAGGCAAAAAGATAAAGGACCCACAACAAGAAAAGGCTAGAAATATGTACATATATCATAATAATTTGATATAGAGGTAGCATCAGGTTATACATCATGAGTACAGATAGTAGAACTATAATACAAAGGAAGAGCAAAAGAAAAAGATGCATGTAAACAGTGGGAAATCTAGCACCAGAACTAGTACATACAAGTACACCAAAATAAAAGATAAGGCTATTACAAATATTAAGTAGGAGAATGGACAGATAATAAAAGATTAAAGGCAGGCCGCATAGGAGAAAAAGTTCAGCAGAAGAACAGATCAGTTTTTGGGGAGCCTCGAAGAAGCTGAGTCTTCAGCATCTTCAGTCCTCCTCCTCTTACCAAATGAGTCAGAGGAGCAAGCAGAAACATCAATCCCCATTAGGGGTGAGCAAAGACCCAGGGTACCCGGTACCGGACCCGGAACCGGTTAGGATCCGCCGGGTCCGGACCCGGAACTGGTCTCACCGGTTCCGAGACCAGGTCCAAAATGTCGGACCCGGTTGTAATCGGTTCCGGGACCGGGTCCTAAAATTTCGGACCCAGTACCCACTGGGTACCCGGTTTAAGCCAATTCCAGTTCCGGGTACCCGGTCCCGGATCCAGACAAACCGAGTACCCGGAATCGGTACTGATTTAGTTATAATTTTTTTTTTTTTTAAAAAAAAAACCCAACAATCCACAGTCCAGTACAACATTAGGCCCATTTCATCCAATTCATTTCTGCTAGGGTTTCTGTCAGCCACTCAGCTTCTCATTTCATCCATTCATTCTAGGGTATTTCATTCTTCTTTGTTTACTCTCGATCTTCTCTGTTCTCCTCTTTTGTTCTCCTCTGAAAATCTCATCCTGTCTTTCGTTCTCCTCAAAATCTCATCCTCTCTTTCGTTCTCATCAACTCCCTGATTCTCTCGGTGTTCTCCGGTATCGAACGACGGTCTCTTTCATTTTGTATATGTAGATCTCTAGTACTGTTTATTGCTGCTTGAATTTTCTTTGGAGATAGTTAGTGTGTACTGTGTATTTGTGTAATGACTTATTAAAGAATCAACTCCCTAATTCTCTCGGTCAGATGGAGAATTAACAAATCAAAAATTGCATTACTTTAATTTCTTGATATTGCACATTTATATGAACATGAGAGTGATTATAGCATTATGATGTGACTTTACTTTAATTTGATATAGTATGATGCAGGAACTTGCTAACTATAGTCCAAAAGATTATAGCTTTAAACTCACAGTATGTAGAAGTGTCTGATTTGCATTCATACTCAATATTCTATCTCACTATGTCTCAAATTCAAGCTAATTTGAAATAATACCGGGTACCCGGTTTTGGAACCGGTTCCTACCGGGTCTGGGACCAGTTCCAAGAAATTTGGATCCAGTATTAACCGGTTCTGACACCAGTTCCAATTCTTAGGACCCGGTTATAACCGGTTCCGGATCCGGGTATTGCAAATATGACCGGGTACCCGGTCTTGCTCACCCCTAATCCCCATAGCATAAAAAAAGCGTTGTTCATCATCAGAGGAGAGGCCTGTATGCTGATTGGAGTTTGTGCCATACTCATAAACAGGAGGAGTTGATACATTTGGAGTAGCAAAATCATGATCCAATAGTTGGTCCATGAGAAAAGGGAGAACTATCATCTTCTATTAGAAGAGGGGATACATCAGCAGCAGCAGAAGGATTTAGAGGGGTTGCCTATTTCATAACATCCTTTATAGATTCATGGGCAAGCAACATTAAATACTGGTTATCCATAGGGACAGAAGAGGAGGAAGGGACATGCACAACCGTGGGACCTGAAGGAAATAGGTTGTTGGGGCTTAATGACAGTAGAACTAGGTTTGAGCTTAATAAGGCCAGGATTTCTAGCTCTCCTAGAGGGAAAAGACCTTTTCCTAGGGTCCACCTTAACCCATTTGGAAGAGGATGGGGCAGAAGAGGAGCCATTTGCTTGCGGATTATATATGCATACTCAAATACAATTATATAAGAAATAACCCATTCCTGATTATTTTGGTTGAAGAGTGTTGCAGTATAACCTTCTCGCCTAATTGGGTCTCACAATTGCTGATATAATTACAAAAATATGATAATGTAAGATTTTTTTTTTTTTTTTTTTTTTTTTTTTTGTTGATTTATCTATCATTTTGTCACGGGTCTTCCTCCAAACAAATCGAAAAGAGAGAGCCCAATTTATTTCATGATAAAAAAAAATGGTTTATTTAGTGAAATTTGTGTAAATAAACCAGCAAAATATCTCGCATTTTTGTAAAATAATTTCACATTTTGTAAAACCCGCATTTGATAGAAGGTGTTGACTTATTTAGATAAATGTCACCACTTTTTTGTTTATCCGAATAATAAAGTTGAAAAAGACAGAAGGGTTTGGAAGGAGAGCGAAAATGGAGAAAATGAAGTCCCGCAGTCTATATATTGAGGATTACCATCGCTATTTCAAAGATCCAGAGAAGAGTAGTTTAACCGTCATCCAACTTAATCAGGTGTACATCACTCACTTGAATCCATCTCCATTTTACATACTGCTCATTCTAATTTCTGGATTAATTAATTATGAAAAGGTAATACAAATGCACGGATTCATGAAAGTCGAGAAGAAGCGCAAGAAGGTTCTGGAAGCATTGAATGGATTTGGCCACAACACGTTGATGAACCCTCTTCGTTCTTCATTATCCGATACTTGTTCATCACCTCATCTTCCTCTTTCCATGGATCAAGTCAACACTGATCTTGATACTCTTCGATGGCGCGATGATGATGACAATGCTGGTTTTGCAGTTCAATCTCTCAAGTCATTCTCTTTCACTAATGATAATGCTGATACCCAGTTGCAGATCACTGCTTGTGGGAAGAGGAAGAGGGTCAGGAAGCCGAAGCAGGTGTTTAACCCGGTTTATAAGACGAAACCCAGATCTAAGAAGAATGTTCAGAAGAGGAAGAGTCTTGCTGATATTATTGCTAATTGGGGAGTTACTCACTGTTCATCGATCAGCTCTTCTGTTAGGGAATTGAAGTAGTGTGAGTTTGTAATGAGGATTGTGCCTGCTAGGTGTTTGTTGATATGTCTAAATGAAAATAGATGGTGATGACTGATGACTACTACTGTACTACTTGTTGGGTGTGGCCCAAATATTTTAGGCCCGTTATTTATACATGTTCTAGAAGGATCTGGAATCAAGCAAGGGTAGTGCTTGCTCACAATTTCTCTAGATTTTTCTACTATCTTATACCAAGTAATATTATGGAAGTTCCTTAACATTCTATGGAATTATTAAAATTGGAAGCAACTACAAGTCTAGAAGATATAGTTTGTGAAAATTGTAGAACATCATGGCTATAAGGATGAAAAATAGAATTCTGGAGTATTCTAGTCATTTCTTTTAACCTAAGACTTGAATTTATATTTGATTCAATATCTTATATATTTGTTATAATCGAATCTCCTTTGTAGATGTCGTATGTCAAATTATTAATGAATTAATTTTACTATTAAAGAAAATTACTCATATGCTAAACAAAACCGTTCAATAATAATCTTAAACTACAATTCGACTAATTAGAATAAATTTATTAACCCAGCAACTCATTATATTATTTGGATGACTAACAACTCCAAAAACCGAAAACATAATAATTAGTCGGATTTTAAATTTGTTTCCCCATCCTAGTTACATTTTAAACACGCATCAATTGGATGGTAAAAGACTATGTCATGACTCTAGCTATAATTAACAAATTAATGTTAGCTTTTCCTTTTCAACTAATTATGTTATGAAGTAGTAAAATAATTATATATTTTTTTTAAAATAAGTAAAATAATTAAAAAAAAAAAATTCCTAAATCTAAACCATGAATGTATAGCCACCTCTCCTAAAACGTGTCTTGAGGTGATGATGTGTGAATATTGGTGATCTTGTCAAAAATCCAAATATCTTTAATTTCGTAATGAAAAAAATTATGAAAATTACATATTAATAAAATCACATTATTACGAATTTAACAAGATCTCACTTGTTTAGTCAGATCAGATCAAATCAAATCAAATCAGATCAGACCAGATTAGAATAAGGTGAACTAAACAGGGCCTAATTATGTTATGATATTAATGATCTTGTCATAAAAACCATTGTAACACCTCGATTTGCTAACTTAACATAAATAAAAATTAGAGGAAAAATAAACAATCTTTGAATAAAATTGCGCAATCATACACCTAAATCAACCTAAATCAGAAGTATTACCGCCACACTTGACAACCTATCAGGTGCTAATTAACTAGCTATTTATACAACTTTACAAACTCGTTATAACAGACTAGTTAACCAAAATACTTGCCTTTAGCTACGATCAACTCTAAGGGTAAAATAACTTTGTACTCTTTAACTTATCTAACTAACTAACAAGTAGTGTAGCATGCTCTTTGTTCTATACCTAGTCTTGAACGGGTAATTCAATTAAAAAAATGATAATAAAGATTGTACTCGTCTGTAACGCCGAGCCTCAAACCAAAAACAAAATAATATTCCTTAACTTTTTGATTTCATACTAAATAATATACCATGATGAACTCGATTTGGTCATATATAGAATATCTTAACTCTTATAGAGCAATAAAACTAGTACCCAAGTATAATCGATTCACAACCCAAAATAATAATATTAGTAACCCTAAAACCTCAATATAGCATACATGCCTAGCTAGAGCAATAACGTTAATAAAAACCCTAGCAATAATACAAACAACTCCAAAATAAGTTTCGTGTGATTACCTAGAGGTATTCTATTGCCTTTGTAATGTATTATAGTGTTGTAATTTATTATGAAAGCAGCGCAATTTATACGAAGTATATTGTTTGTAAAAGATCATTGGAACGAACATCATGCCAGCATATTAAACGAGGTATGATAAAAGTTTGATGGGAATCAAACGGAGTATTAATCAAAGGGCTAAAAGATTTATTAAGAGAATATTGCTTGCTTGATGATAAAGCTTAAGGTCTGCTTGTTCCAACGCAGAGGAACAAAACGGCAAAAGGGATGAAAGTTATTAACGAAACTGCAAATAAATATAATTTGTATAGGATAGAAAAAATAGAATCCTAGATAATAAAAATAAAAACTCATAAAATAATTTTAAAATATCCTATTTTAGCCCTAAAATATATCCGATAGAATCTTAAAATAATCGGGCCACCATAGATGGAGTTACACTGAACTAGAGTCTGGGACGAGACCACCATAGATGGAGTTACACGGAAGGTTTGAGTCCGGCACGAGGTCTTGAACAACACCGTAGATGGAGTTACACTGAACTAGAGTCTGGGACGAGACCACCATAGATGGAGTTACACGGAAGGTTTGAGTCCGGCACGAGGTCTTGAACAACACCGTAGATGGAGTTACACTGAAGGTTCGAGTCCGGCATGAGGTCCGGAAGGCCACCATAGATAGAGTTACACGGAAGGTTTGAGCTCGGCATGAGGTCCTGAACACCACCATAGATGGAGTTACACTGGAGGTACGAGTCCGATCCAAGGTCCTGGAAATCACCATAGATGGAGTTACACGGAAGGTTCAAGCCCGGCACGAGGTCCTGAAGACCACCATAGATGGAGTCACACTGAATGTTCGAGCCATCGATGAGGTTGTTGTTATTAACCAACTCATAATCATAACCTAAAAATTGGTAATTGCTGTTGGTGTCAAAGAAGGTGTTGGAACTACTATTGGTGTTGTAGTAGTTGTTGTTAACGGATGGATCATCTAATAAGTAGTTGTTAATGGATGGATCATAATGAGGAACTGGGGCTCCCTCATTGTTAATTTCTTGTTCGTGATTATTAACGTTTGCCTCCGTATTAGGTATTTCTGCTTCTTCATTTTCTGCAACTTGTACAGCTTTTTTTTCTTTTTTGGCTACTTCTTTGTGATGGATTCTATATATCACGTAATCCAACTGCATCTCATCCACAAAAAAAATTGATTAAAATGATATACTACTTCCGTTACATATAGTATATCAAAAAAAATAAATTATTCTATGATATAATAGAAATAAATAAGTTAAAAAATAAATCTAATAAGAAGCATAACATACCACCATACTCGTACAATCTTGATGATCTCTTTTCCTCTTAGGTGTTACTTTGGGTTCATCATCACGGACTCGTAACTCTAGCATATGCCATTGCGTCTTCTCATCCTTGTCGTCCTTATTCTTTTTATTAGGGTTTATTTTGAAATACACCAAAGCTCTTTGGTGTCCGATCAATGTACCATCATCATCCTTGACTGGTTTGTCTATTCCCGTAGCCTTCCAATACCCGTCTCCGGCAGTTCGATCGGGACGCTTCCCATTCTTATATTTTCTGTTTCTTGATGTGAAAAAATACCACTTTTTATTCTTTCCATTCCCTTGTGGTTTGAATTTGGCTGCATGTTTAAATTATGAAAACAAATTAATAAAACTAAAAAATCATAAAAGCGTCTAATTGCGATATCTAAGAAAGTATGACTTAGACAATATAGAAATAACGATATATGCCTATGGTCCTTCGCTAATTTTTTAATAAATAAAAGAAAAAACACTAAAAATTGAATTTACTACCTCCGTCTCATATTATTTGCAACGATTTGACATAAAATGGAGATAGTATTTACTACGGAGTAGTAACATAGTAGTGTGATTGTACGTACCAGTGAGATCTTCAGGACCGCCGTAGACATTGATATGATCAATTTCATGTATGGGATTCATGGGCAAATCAAAGCCATTGATCTTGGGTTTGAGATAATGATTAATTAGTTCTTTTGTATAGGGTTCAAATCTGTAGCCGGGTGGAAGGTTATCGAACGATTCTCCAGGTTTTTTCTCCATTGGAATATTGGAGATTAGAGAAGGAAATTAAAGCTGTAGTGTTAGAGATTTAGAGAAAGAAAGTTACGTTGTTGATGAATTAAAAAACTTTGATGTAAATAATGATTGCTATAATCAAGATTTACCCTTATAATTCTTCCTCAATTGACTTTTATATTAGGTGGTTGACCTTTAATTTGATCAAGCATGCAACGTGAAGATAGATTTTTGATGAATTTTGATATAATTCTATAGATCGTAGGACACGAGGATAAGATAATTAAGTTAAATATCTTCAAGTTAAATATCATTAAATAACCAAGTATTATGTCTATTACTAATTGATTATTTTTTACAAATTCTATCTATTTATTTTTAAAGGTAAGGAAAAGGACCCTGACTGTATTTCAACCTTCACGATTTTTTTGTCCGTACGTATTTGCGGGCCGGGTCAGACACTTTAAGAATAAACAAATTATATTCTATCTATTACATAATGATATATATTAAGATTAAAATCAAGAAAATCAACAATTGCACATAAATATATCTATGACGCGAGAAAAATATGTAATTTACGAGTTTAACAAGATATTATTTGTAAATTTTAACGTCATATACGATGTACTATACTTACATATAAAGACCGAGACACCTCTAATCTGCATGGTATTCCATCCATGTTAGGATTTTTGTCAAAAAGCTATACATTCTAGGTATAATATCAATACGAGAATTTTATTAATTATATAAACCTGGTACACCATGCACCCAACTAATCTAAGGTATAAAATAATCTCATTCACTTGGTTTGTTGAGAACTTGAGAAGGAGTGGTCCATCTCATCAACGTATAAAATAATCTCATTCTCAATAGCAGATCTTGGACCAAAAGGAATGGAAGGTCAAGATTTAAACCTTAACCTCAGCTCTAGTAAGATTATAGATATCTAACTAACTATGGAAACATAAAGTTTTATATATCAATATATATTAAAGGCAATATATTCATTAGTACATCTAATAATTCTTAAGATAATTATTGGGGGTCACACCTCAGCTCTATGAGTTTTAATAAAGATCCTCTTGTAGTCTTGTGTTCTTCTATAGTTGTTTCATTTGACTTTTCAAAGTCAATGTTTATTAATTTTGACCATGTTTTATAGTTAAAGGAAATTATATATTTTCATATAGAATACCTTTAAATTTGTTTTAATGTTTATTTATTTATTTTATATCAACATAATATAAACTTTAGGATTAAATATTTTATATCCAAACACTTAAATATGCATTTTAAAGGTGAAAAAGTGAATAGAGCAACTAAGACAATGGTGTATATAGCTCCCAAAAAAGGAGTCATTTTTCTTACCACCAAATTAGTTGATGTACAACCTTTAGCCTCAAATAAATGAGTCAAATCAAGATGACTTCGCGTAATGTTTCTTCTCACAACTACCATAAAAATTCCAAATGAAAAATAGAGCCAACAGATAATATATTTAAGCAATCACTAAAAAATCTCTGGTGAAATTCTAATATAGAAAATCTCAATTCCTTGTATTACGGCTCCAAATCTAATAATGCCAAGCTCAAATATTGGCTAACAACAATTTTACAAGACCATTCTCCTTTTTGTCAAACAATTTCTCAGTCCTACACGCAAAAAAAAATTAAAAAAAAAAAACAAAAAAAAAATTAAAAAAAATAAAATCATCAAAAATAATGTATTTGCATGATACCAAAGTTGTGAATGCATTAGCAATAATAATCTATGTAATTCTTATTTCTAATGTAAACATAGGTGAAGGACATAGTTCTCATCATGAACATCAAGGTACCATCCGTAAGAACGTCATAGACGCGCCTCTCCTAACGGGGAAAATTGGTGGTAATCGTACGATTGTGGTTGATGTTAATGGCAATGGAGATTATAAAAGTGTTCAAGCAGCAATTGATGCAGTTCCTGTAGGGAATTCTAATTGGGTCACCATCCATCTTAGAAAAGGAATTTACAGGTTAACATTTTCTTTGTGTACATCATAACCATTACATATATAGGGAACGTAAGTTTGCAACATGATCAAATGACACGATACATAAATTTTTCCTCGATCTTTTGAAGATTTTACAACAATCCTATAAATAATTCGTAAAATGTCCTTAGGCTTGTACCTGTGATTTCACCCTAACTAATATAATACGGTACTAATAATCCATTTCTTTAGAGTAATTTATAATGCATATAGCATACCTAAGGAAAATATGATTACTATATGAATGTTTAATCTTGTTAATTTAATTACGTACATTATTTGCTTAATTAAAATGTATGTTTTGATTAACAGGGAGAAAGTACATATACCCCACAATAAACCAAAGATATTCTTGAGAGGAAATGGTAAAGGTAGGACCTATATTGTTTGGTCTCAAAGCTCTACTGATAACATTGAGTCTGCAACATTCAAGGTTGAAGCCTCAAATTTTGTCGCATTTGGAATAAGTTTTAAGGTAATGTAATTTCCTAAAAAAAAAAAAAAACACTAGAATATTTGATTAATTTTTCAAGTTTTAACAACTTGTTATAATACACAGAATGATGCTCCAACAGGAGAAGCATACACCTCACAAAATCAATCAGTGGCAGCATATGTAGCATCAGACATGGCTGCATTCTATCACTGTGGATTTTTTAGCACACATAACACGCTCTTTGATCAAAAGGGTAGGCATTACTACCAAGGTTGTTACATCCAAGGTTCCATCGACTTTATCTTTGGTCGTGCCAGATCCCTTTTCCATGTACGTATTTTCTATTTCTCTATGTGTCCGTGATAACAATTGTACCCTCTAAACGAGTGGAACACCTAAAACATCTAAACACTTATTAATCAATTGTAGGAGTGTGAGATCTTCGTGTTGGTTGACCGGAGGATAAAGATCCATGGTTCAATTACAGCACAAAACAGGGAGAGTGCAGATGAACCAAGTGGATATGTCTTCAATAAAACAAAGGTTTATGGTACAGGACAAATTTATCTTGGTAGAGCTAAAGGTGCTTATTCAAGGGTGCTCTTTGCAAATACTTACATGTCTGGAACTGTTACATCTCAAGGATGGACTAATTGGAGTTATGATGGATCCACCGAGTAAGTCATTCTGTCACTATCTTATAAAAAGTGACAACTTTTTTTTAACATTCTAAAATAATGCATGCACCTATTCATATACTACCTCCGTTAATTTTTAATTGCAACAAAGGAATATTTTATATCTCACAAAAAATACCCCTTTATTGCACCTAAAAGTTAATGGAGATATTATATCCATTGGAAAGTTATCACAATACGTTTAATGTTGTAGTCTAAACGAGTTTAAAGCCCTATAAGAGACTTGATTATATAAACCGATTATTGTTTATGTAACAGCAACTTATTTCATGCGGAGTATGCATGCCATGGACCTGGATCAAGCACAGGGGATCGAGCTTCGTGGAGTATGCGTCTAAGCGACGAAGAGGCAGCTCCTCTTCTCACCATAAACTTCATTGATGGCAAGCAATGGTTACCAGCATGGATGGATTAATGTGTTTTTTCATTCATTAAAATTAATTAGTAGAGCATTTAAAAATTAAAATGATGAGAGAGTTGTTTGCTGCTTAATATTTGTACGAGTACCATCAGTACAGTGGCGTATCCAGGAATTCCGAACTGTGGGTTCGAAATCTTAAAAAAAAAAAACGATGATCATATTTTGATTAAAAATTCAATACATAAATCAAATTTTTATCACGGATGAATTACACAATAAAAAAAATAAAAAAAAACCTACAAAAGCATTCTTCGAGTTTTCCTACTTTGAAAGCGTGCTAATACATCATCATCACTAACTCTTGCAAATAAGTCTCTCTCAAGATAAGTAACTAAACTATCATTCAATAGTTGATCACCCGTACTATTCCGCAACTTATTTTTTACATAATACACAATTAATTATCAATTAAAATCACAAGTCCCCAATAAACACAAATTTGACAATATAAACTTCTTCTAATTATCAAATTTCAATTAACAGAACAAGTAAAAATTTTATTTCAAAAAAAAAAAAACAAGTAAATTTTTTTTAATTCTAACTTCTAAGTTTCTACAATTCAATTTCTCAACAATTCAAGAATTCAACAATATATCAAAACCATAAACCAATTTAAAAAATAAAACAAGCAAACCAAGATTAAGAATTAATAGGAGTAGAGGAATAAGAGATTAAGAGGACTCACAATTGTAGAAGAACTCTGAAGTCTGAATTCAGAACAGTCGTCCCTCGTCCGTGTCTCCGTCACTCCGTGAGGTCGTCAGTGCTCCCGGTCGCCGGTTGGTGTCTCGGTGTGCGGTGCCGCGACGGCTAGTGGCTACTGGCTAGGGTCATAGGGTGTCAAGGTTAGGGTTTTGGTGTTTGGGAATTTGGGGAAAATAAGAAATGTCGATGTTTGATTTCTGAAATCTGAAATTTGAATGTAAGGAGTAAAAGAAAAAAAAATATAAAAAAAAAGTACAAAAAAAGAGGGCAATAGGAGTCGAAACTAAGACCTAAGACATTAAAAGGGCACGCTGCTCTATTATTCAAAGCCTTACCAATGCACCAAACTTACCCATGTGATTATTATTCTCACAGAAATTTGTATTAACCCTTTTTCTTTTTTTTTTTAAAAAAAAAAATTAAAACTTATAAATTTTTTCCAAAAAAATCTGTGGGTTCAATGAACCCCCCTAGATCCGCCCCTGCATCAGTATACACTGCTCCACTGAACAAGCTAAGGAAGAGATCGTTTCATGCATCCAAGGGCTTTCATTGTAATTAATTTACTTGATCATACTTCCTTTAATTTGTTGAATTGACTCCTTTAATAGAATTTTGGTTGTTTTCTAACCAGTAATTACTGAGTAAGTGAATATGTATGTGCTTCTATACATACATATATTATCTTTTTGTTTTTCTTGATTCTCGAGCTTTTATTAAATTATTGTTGAGATTGCTATCGTGTTTATTATATTGATGGTAACCTCAATTTCTTTGTTTAAACATTTTATTTAGTATTAGTATTAGATATATGCAAAAAAATATTGATAATATAATAAGAGTTTCTCTTTCTGATAGTTATTCTCATGATTATCTTTTCTCATAATTACTTGGGTTGAAAAACTCACTTTAGAGTTTCTAGTTTAAAGTTTGTATGATCATCACCTAATTCGTAGTGTAACAATTACTGTAGTCTGCTTTTAGAACAATTTTACATAGTATCTTCAAATTTCAAAGTCCATTTACTTTTAATAATTTTTTTTTTTACAAACTACTTTTAATAAAGTTACACAAGTAAAAGATTCTCATTGAAAGTTCATGCAAAGGTTAAAAAGAAAGTGGTTAATTAATGGAAGTAATAATAAACTAGAAAGGACATATTTTATCTACCCGTCCACACGTATATTAGTTTACGAGTCATGACCACCGCATATATTAACCCTTAAACAGTTAAACACTTAAACCAGACTAAAATAATTCAATCACAAAAAGGTCCCGATTTGGTAGAAGTAGAACGCAACCCTCAAATTTCCAAAACAGCCAAAAGGGTAAAGCCCAAGGTCTGAGCCAATGCCCTAGAATAAAACCAGGCGTCACGACTACAAAAAAAAACCTTCATTACCGTATAACAGCAGTTCGTAAGTATTAGGCTACTCCTTACTTTGAAGAAAAACCCAGTTTTCATAGAAAGAAGAGAGAGAAACAATGGAGGGAGGAGATGAAGGAGTTGATAGAATGGTGGATTCTAAGGATATGCAGCAGCAAAGTAAAGCTTTCGATAAGCTTACTGATCGTGTCGAAGATCGTCAGCTTGATTCTTCTCGTGTTCAAACGGTCTTTTTCTCTCTCCATTTTTCCCACTTTTTAATTCTACTTTTTTTTTTTGTGAATGTCTGCTCAATTTCATGATTTTTTTGACAATTTTTGTTGGTTGATAATGGTGGTTTGTAGGCTATGGCGTCGATTGCTGCTGCTGCTGAAGCTGATGCCAATGCTATGAGATTGAGGTTTTTTTTTTTTTTTTTTTTTTTTTTTAATTTTTTTGCTGTGATTCTAATTTTGTAGTGTTGTGTAGAATTGAACTCTTTTAGCAATTAAAAATTGGCGTAATTTCATGAAAATGTTGATTTTAATTGCATAAGATAAAAACATTAGGGTTCGAATTGAACATGCTTAGTGATGGAATAGTATTGGGGAATAGAAAGGTTTTGAAGATTAATTGGGGTGGAGGAGATGTGGGAGTGAAGATTTTGGTTATTGTGAGGCAATTTAACAAGGTGATGACAGAAATAAACTTTTACACCTGACGGTGACAACTCGACGAGGTTTTGAGAAGTTGGGAAGAGTGGTCACTGAAGTTTTTGAATTTGTTGTAAAAATATAAATTTTCTATAGAATGCTCTCTTTGCCTGTAAAGGATGTCGAGGATGAAATTAGTTGGTGATGTTACAAGAGTACATCCTCCATGGCTTGCTCTTATTACTGATGAAGTGATAGTGGATGCAAATTTTGCAACTATCTAGTCTATATATTGTCAAATTGGTTGGCAAAGTAGTGCATAATTTGCAAAATGGTTGGCAAGTACAGAGTAGTGAGTAAGAAGGTGACCACAACAATGCAAAAATTCTTTATCAGAAAACTTTTGATAGCTACCAATGCTACTATGTTGGAAGTTAGTGCCTAAGAAGTTAGATCCTTAGCTGGTCATGGACTTTAGGGCTATAGCATGTCATAGTGTCCGTAGTTTTCTAAGTGTATCATATGAGTCATATAGAGGTACAACCTTTCCACTTCATGTGGTAAGGCGTGGCCACTTACTTTGGAACTCCAAAACAACCCACATGACCAATGTATGTCCCTTTTCTTATTAAGAAAACAAAAATCTCAAATGTTTGAACTAGATGAAATCCTAAGCTTAATAGAACTTGTATTTTTTAAAATTTTATATTGTGAATACCTATAATAGCTGTTGCAAGGATTTATGCCAAGGACATTTGATGCATGCAGCTCATTTCATGTGCTGAATCTGAGGTGTGTGATGGTGCTTTTTGCAATGTAAAACTGAGGTAGTTGTGCTTTGTAAAGGGTAGGCTGGTTCACGTTAACATAATTTCTGTTCATGAATTGTCGTTTTCAGTCTAAGAGGAAGTATGTTTCTCCTAATTACATGAGAAAAATTAGTACCCTCTCTGCAGTTTAAAGTGTTACATATTTTTGTAAGTCTCCGATGTAAGTGTCCTCCTATCTAATAAATGATATTTATCCAATCATCATTCTCAATATAGTATTCCCAGATAAACCTGTCACTTCCATTTAGGGTGTGTCAAAAAAAATTTCATGTTTTCTGTTAACACTTTACTTATCATGGAATGTGTGTTGATTACAATTATTTCCATCTCTGTTATTGCTCTCCTAATGGGCACTTTTCAGGATGGGTCCTCTTACCCTTATATTGTTAGATCACTTATTTTTATGTGCGTGTTGGTGAAAGAGATAAACCTGTCTCATAGCTTTGTTTAGCCTTTTAAGTGAAGGGCTCCTAAGCTTATCCCCCTCACCGCCTAACCTTGGCTAATGACTTACTCTTGTTTGTCAGGGGGGATTTGACCTCTGTTCAGGAGTTTTCCAATTGTATAGGATTTCTTGCAAATGCAGTTAAACTGAAATATACTTTAGAGGGTCTTTCCTTCTCCTGAAGTGAAAAATTTTCTTCTTAGCATTAATTATGTGAATGTTTCCATCCTTTTTAGGTACAAAGGTCAACTCATTTAGGACATCTAGTATGTCATGTATTGTCTGTGGGCTAGAAATCAGAATATTACGTTAAGTGTCATTGAATTGCTACTTATCTATTGGTAGTATGTCCAAACTAAGCTGCCATCTTAAAGCTCATATGATACATTGACTGGAATAGGTTTCAGTTTGGGTCCGATGGATAACTGCAAATTATCTTCAACGATTATATATGGGTTATTAGGATACTACAAACTTCATGGTTTGAAAAGATATTCTAGTACAGTGGATCATTTGGTGACTAAGGATGAGTCTATCACTCAAGCAGTCTTCTTACGGGGTGGTAGATACAAGGTTTAGTTGAAGATATCCTGTCATTAAAGTACTAAGGTAAACTGGTAGAAAATGCAATGTGCTTATAGACTAAGATCTGCTCCTTTTTGCTGGCTTGTTGCTTTTTGATGGACATACTACTAGAGATTTTTGTAGAATTGACTTATATTGTCATATTGTTGGTGTATTTTTTACAATTACACATGAAACTATGAAAGTACAACTCATCTGTTCATAAAGTTCCCATTTGTGTATGAAGTATAGGGTACATAGGTATTTCATAATTCCAGGGTTGGAAATGGATTGAAGCTTAACATATGGGGGCCAGAATTGTGCTTTATATATTCTTTCTAAAAAGTTTAGCGATTGTTCAAACCTAGGTAAAAAAATTAGCAAAGATTCCAAAAATATGTTACGGTGGCTATTGGATTAGTGTCACGGTCAAAGTGTTTTGACACCGGATTGTGCAACGCACTCTTGATCTAGGGTGGTGAGGGAGCAAGGGAAGAACAGGCAGGCCATGGGCGGGCTTGTTCACGAGTATTGTGCACACTTTCAACTTTAGGAAAGGACACTCTTGCCTATGGGTAACAAAAATGAGGGATGAGGATCAATTTGGCACTTGGACGCATTAAGCAAGACAAGTGGGGCCAACAAAGAGAATGAGTTATGAGTGACAGTGTAACACATGCCTAGGGAGGGACTAGGGGGCATTAAAACAGAGGCAATAAACAACTCATGTACTAACTGCTAAGGTAGGAAGCTTTGATCATCATTTAATTAATTATCATTCCCTGAAGAGCTTTATTTTGTATATAGCAATCATTCCCAGTGAACACTGAACACCAAAACTGCAGTAACATGATGATGAAATAGGTCTGATATAGTTTGTAAATCTCAATCGGTTTCCATACTACTATTGTTGGGAATTTGTTATCGGTACAGAAGTTGATGTTAACCTTTAATTTTGGGCAGTGTTTGAAAAAGCGCACCTAGGCGCTGAGGCGCAAGGCAATAAGGGGTATGCGCGTGATTTGGTCTGGGCGAGGCGTTTTTGACTTTTTGGTAAGGCGCACATGTGGCGCACCTGAACCAAACTACAGCCAAATTTTTTTAACTAGCCATATAGTGCGTCTCTTAGGCGCCGCAAAACCCCTCTCGCTTTAGTGCGCCTTGAGCTTTTTTATACATTGATTTTGGGCTCAGTTACTGACTGCCCTTTTGAAGCGGGAGTGGTGTTTTCTTTTATTTCAAAAGTGATAAAAACATTATTACCAGTATTATGAGGAATTTTACCACTATTTGAAATTCGCAAAAATTTGATTTATGTTTTAGACTGATGCTTCAGTGGTGGAATTCGCTAGAGGGATGGGTGACCTGAAGTAACTTAAGAAATAGAAATGCTATGCACATCTGTTGTAAGAGCACATCTTCTTTCCTCTAGACTTGTATGTTCTGGTTTTGTAAGGGAAGATATCTAAATAATCTAACATCCAGTTTTGTGGCAAGTCTTTGAGTACAGTTCTGTGTTTTTTGTTATGCTGGTATGGCAATTGGCATTATACCCTTATCTATGATGTGTTTTTCCTCACTACTGAAGAACTTGTATTTTAGCTTGCTTTAAACAATTCAGACCTTAATAATTCTATTGCCCTCTGTTTTTTTAGCAATATTATCTCCTCTATGTGACTGAA